TCGGGGATTGTATCAGGGATTCAATCGTGGGCGGTGAAAGAAGGAGGCCCGGTGGTAGTGGCAGCGTATCAACCACTGGAAACTATTATCACGGCGTGTCTAAGCTATTTCTTCTTGAAGGAAAGCTTGCGATTGGGAACTCTGGTGGGAGGGCTCACGATTATCTTCGGCTTATACTTGCTCATATGGGGGCAGAGAAAGGAACGCGAGGCAAATGAGGAGGTTACGAGGAAAGCCACAGAGATTACTCTAGTTCTACAGCCTAGTCGGCGAGCTAGCTTTATCAAACCAGTTCAGGTATTTGATGTTGAGCAACGAGGCATTTAAAGCTGAATGAAAGAGCTTTATTGTTGTAAACTAAGTATAATGCAAAGAAAACTAGGAACTTCTCTCAGTGTTCATTTGTTTTTCTTCTAAGGACGTTTGTCAAATTTGCTTAGCTGGACTTGTCTGGGAGAAAAGTCTAGTGAAGAACGAAATATCGGGGTTTTGTTTCTAACCTCTTGCCGGGCAACTGGAAGATCGCGTGGTCAGAGATTTAGATTCATATCACAGCTCTCTTTCACATTGTCCCTTTTAAATTATGCTTCAAAGAATGATCATACTGTGTTGGTTGACCCACTTAAACAAGCTTGCCAAAGAAACTGGGCATGGGGTATTGGAGGAGCAGCTATTTCAGACTTAGTAATAGGATTATAAGCTTCGCTTTGTCCCACATAAAAGCAATGACTCTTTCAAATAGAGTGCTAAGTGAGTTCACAATCCCAGAACTGATCACTCCAGCATGCTATTAAACTTCCATGTTCCCCACGGCAGAAAATTAATGGAAGTCTTGAGATCTGAAGCCTAGAGTGAAAGAGATGAACTAAAGCAACGAAGAAGAAGTATTGCCTTATCCAACCCCAAGACTTTGTTTGATCCGGTCAATGATGTTTGCTTTCTTTGGAATAAAGAATCCACGTTGGGCAGTGTATAAAGAGAGGCAGTTGCAGGGGTGAGACTCGTGGCGCGAGTTAAATGTGCTCGTGAGCCCCGGGTACCTCCCAATGGGCCGCTGGCCTCTACCGCGGGCGTCCGTTAAGTTTCATACCTTGGCAGCGATGAAACATTCTCGAGATGAATCCAGTAGCGATGATGATCTTTGCTTGCAATATATCTGGCACACTTTTTGGGAAGAAAAGATCGGCCTTGATGAACACAAGTAGAAATCGCAGTTTCACACAATAAATGCATCTGTTTTCGTCGAGAGCAGTAGCCTAAACGAACACATAGAAGCTCAGTTTTCTCTTTGTGCTTGCTGTTTGGATGGCAAACGAGAGCACTTTCTCTAGGAGAGGCCAGGAGAATCACCTAGATCGAGAAAGCGATCAGCCGTCGCGAGAGAAAAAAGAAATCCAAGCTTGTGCGGGATCTAACTTTAAATTTTGATAGTTTACTTTTAAAGTTCCAAAGGGCCACGGCATTCAAGCACTCTGCACAGCGATTTGTTTCCCCACGGATATACATCAGCCGCTATTTGCATGAGGGGATTTTAAAATTGGCGCGAAATGGTTTGTGAACAACGAGGACGTGGGGGATCCAAATGATGGCGGCCCACGCAAGGTGGCGGAGGCGAGCGAGATCTTCAACTGGATGGCGGAGCTTGATGTTCATGACGAGGCCAATGAGATGCTCCAGAGCTCACAGTGCTAGCGCCTTTGCTCAGGAAAAGAGCTGTTCGATTCCATGCCCGGCAAGCATATGCGAGGGCCGCCAACTGACGAGACGTGGGTGGCAATGATCAGGGGATCTGGACTAGCCCGCGGCCCGGTCATGCCCTGTTGACTCTTTGGCTGCACCGATTCTTTGCCCTATCCCACATGCCGGAGCGTGGAATGAGGCCACAAACGCAGTGTACTGGACGTTGTAATTTGTGGCAGTAGGGCTCACGTACGCGCAACTAATTTAAGATGGACTGGTCATGGGTATGGCAATAGATCATGTCGATCGGAAAACAATCCCAAGAAATCATACATATCGATCGCTCGACTGAAAACAAATTCCAAGAAGTCAGACGGAAGCTTTCTCATACTCCGCTCGGCCCTCTCAATGTTAAGACGCCATCACTCTTGATCAATTATCTATGAATGCTTTAGAAGGTCCCTGTTTTTCGCTTGGATACCATGGGAAGAACCTCTGATCGATCACTGATGCAATGAGGAAACAAAAGCAGTGCAAGACAGTGTACTTCAATTGACGATGATTTACCAGGTAAGCTTTTGTGGGAGAAGCTCAAATTCGGCTGCTTGATTGGAAGCTCAGTTCATGCAGTTTGGATTCATTGCGACCCGATACACTTGGTGTGGGAGAAATGGTTGGGAATCCATGAATCACGCTACTGCTTATCTCCTTGTCATGGATGCCTCTTGCCTCATGATCTGTTTATTTGCAATTATGGTTCCGTATGTCGGCCCCATACATTCCGGGTTGGGAGTATGTTCACCACTGTATTTACTGTATGCACTGCTCATAGAGAACTTCATCGTCTCAAATTGTAACTTCCTTCACTTCTATAAGTTGACTTTGTTCAAAGAATGCCACCCTTGTGGAGGCTTGGAGTTTATTGCCTGAATCTGGGTGTCTGTTGTAGGTGTTGCTTTATGGTTGGTGGTCAGGCATCACAAACCTCTTCCAGAAAATCGTTAGGTCTGGTGTTTCTCCAAAGTGCTCTAAATGCCATTACATACTTGATTTTCTTAGATTTTAATAACGAAAAATTATATCGTCTAACGTGATTAATCATTTACAAATATCTCTTTGTGGCATGGATTTATATTCTCAATTGATCACGTAGAAGCAAGTCTCGTTGAAATTTTCAATGGAGATGTGAGAACTGATCATGTTAATGTCAGGAGTGACAAGTTACGAACAAGCAGAATAGATACTGTTCTGTATGCCCGTCAGGACAAGTCCAAACCACAAGTGGATTTCCTTATGATCCTATGAAAGATTGACCTTGTGTAGGCCTAGAGAGCCCCCCTTTTTGTTCTAGCAAATCCACCACCTACACCAGATGCCGCAACTGGGCTTTCACCGTAAATGCTAGACCTGATTCATTTCTCTATCATGTGAAGGCATTTTGGCCAGGATCTAAGTGAGCGTTTTGACATACATATATCTTTATTATTATTATTATTATTATTATTATTATTTAATAAGCAATACAAAGCCAAGTAGAAATGCACGTAGTCATTGATTTATAAGCACTTCACTGTGGTGCAAACAAGCTAATGTATTGTTTCCTGGCACCAGCAAACGGCCTTTAGATAACGGAGTATGATACGAATATGTTACCTGACTGGGTGCTCGTCCTGTGGCCTGTTGTAAGGCGTCCAAACTGGTTCTCCCACAAAGAGACGCATTGCCTGCTCGAAACCGAAGCATCAGAAGATAAATTCGTGTGCGATCTCAATACCACCTTGATGTAATTGTTGTTATCCAGAGTGAAGCGATGGTAGCTTCCAGCAGGAAGCACGATCATGTCTCCCTTCTTCACCCAAATACGAATCCACCGATCGCCCAAGTCTCTCACATCGAAGTAGCCTGCGTTTGCCAAACGTTACTTACATCAAGCTGTTCTTCTCACTTACTACTATCGCTTTTGGTCTAAAATGGAAAACCGAGTTTGCTAGTTACCGCTTCCATCGAGGCAGTAGCGGATCTCCTCGTCCAGATGGATGTGCTCCTCGAAGAAGCTCCTGATCTTGTGCTCGTAGTTTGGCAGCTTCTCCGGACTCACGGTGATGATATCCTGTGTGAAACAAAGAAATCAACATAAGCTTTTTTTGCAAATTACTGCAGCTTTGCTCGTCTTTTCCGATCCAAGAGCTACCTGATATGAGTATCCTCGCTTCTTTCGTATCTCCTGTAGCTTTGAATCGGTCTCGTACCGATCTGCGTCGAGATTCCAGTGCAAAACACCCAGAGCTGCAAGGCACCAAAACGTTTCCAAGGTGAGAAGCAGAAAAACAAAGAAATCTCACAGAAAACCTGCGAGCTTCTCGTGCGAAACGAGCTGGACTGGGTTGAGGTGATGCGGCTGCCGCTGATCTTCACTCGAGTCGTCCATATACCAAGCCTCCATCTTGTCTCAGCTCTCCTGCTGCAAAAAACGAACGAGAAAAGAGAAAACTACAGGTTCTCTCTCGTCTCGTTTTCCGAGAGCGAGAGATTCTCGGGGCCGCGAGCACTTCTTGAGATTTATTCTCGTTCTTCAGCTCGATGGATAGATGAAAGGACGAAGCAAGTAGGATCTTCGGAGCGGAGCTGAAGAACAAGTCAATGAGTGAGAGGAAGAAAACTGAAGAACCAGACGGTCGCTCGATGGTTGATTATAAAAGAGTTGATCCTTTCTTTAAATAAGACCCGCCATCCATCGGATGGAACAAGTGTTTATAAGAACGGTTTGGTTTTGTAGAGCCACTGTTTCGTATACAGGCTGGAGAAGACTTTTGCGAGCGATTGCGTGGGCAAATACCAGCAGCGTTTATCTGAAAATTTAACGCAGCGCTCGACATTGGAGTCCGCACCCGGGGAATGTATGTGACATATGCCACTACGGAATCTCTCGTCGGCTTGTTTGCATATGCGCAAGTCTTTTTCTTCTTTGTCAAGAAAAAAATAAACTTCCTGCAAGTTGCAAGTGTTTCTGTCAGTGGATCAAATGGGCCAATTTGATAGCGGCGGGTATTGTTTACTACTTGCCTGGGGTCCAATGCACTGCACTCGGCAAAAGGATGGAACAGTACCCCGCTGGAAGCTTGTGCACCTTTGGCCGCATAGATTAGATGCATGAATCTGTTGACAAGCGAGAAGAGAGTCAGAAGCGATGGAGCTTTCAAGTTAAATTCGATGCCACTCACCTCGCCGATCGTCGATCCACAAGGCCATGGCTGTAGTCTCAATCATCCCTGTCTGACAAACACAAACCAAGCGCAAGTAACTTTATGCACAAATCAGTCTGTCTATATCAAGCACCTGGAGTTCAGAGCTATGTTACACGAGCGTAATTTACAAATAATGGCAGAAAGTTACCCATCGTGGTGTGAAGACGAAGGCATTCCACCGCGCCAATACCCAGACCGAGACAGTCCACTGTCTGCAAGGAACTGCATGTACGTTGCCTCGAGTTCAGCGTAAGACTTGCGTAATTCTTCCTCTTCTCGTGCTTTCCTCTGCTCTTCTGTCTCACTCTCAGCTCCCTCCTGAAAAAGACATGGCATTCAGTCTCACGTCAAGGCTTGCGTGTAAGAGGATTATACCAGCCGCTGTCCATCACCCGGAACAGCCACTTCGGATTCTCTATCGCCGTCGAGGATCCTTTGCCAGCGATGAAGTCGTGGACGGCGTTGTACATCCCACAGCTCTTTCTCAGCTTGCGTCCTAGAGACTTCTACTTTTATTCTGTTCTGCGCTTCTTGTAGGAGTTTTCGAAAGCCAAGAAGCACAACCGGAACCAGCAAGAGTAACGGAGCCGTGAAGCTTACCTGCATAAAACAACACGTTGATATGACGACTTAGTACAAAGAAAAGCTTACGAAGTTTGGAAATCCTGACACCATCCATGGAGGAACAGGTGACCGTGGTTGTGCAACAGTGCTGATAATTTCTTCCGAGGTCGATGGTGTGTCCTGGATGACCAAAGCAGCAACCTGAAGAAGGAAGCCATAGTTCGTGGTACGTGCGAAATGAAAGTTTGTTTACCTTTTGGAACACTCTCGGTTGGACAGGCACTAGCAAGACGCGACCAGTTTGTAGCAAATCAATGTCGTCAATCTTATTTGCTAGAGCGATAGTTTGCACAGAAGTGCTGTATTGGCGGGCTATGGAAGTTAACGTTTCACCCCTGAAGAAACAATGTTAGCACAAGAGAAGGAAATTAAGAGAGCAAAAAATCCCATACTCTTGAACGTTATGGCAAATGGAGAACGAGACAGGATGAGTGACGCTCCGATCGGTTGCTTCTCCGGCCTATTCGCAGAGAAAACACTCCATCACTAGCTATCTTGCTAGAAATTCCGCTCATACCTTGTCCGCCACGGCCGAAATCTTCCCTGCATTCTCCCGGCGCCTCCCGATCGGCACGGATATGGCCAGGGAAGGGAGCCTGGAGATCCCGCGGTCAACCGCGGTGCTAGCGCCCGCCAAGCCAGCGCCGAGATGAGCAACCCTAGCCTGCATAGCGCGAGACCGAGCTAGGGCTTTGCGTAAAAGAATTTCATCTCAAACGGCTACGTTTTGACCAAATTTGACCATTTATCTTAATTAATAAAACTTTGTAGTCTTGTGAATGTTCCGTGTACCACCAAAACTTGCTCCCTACAAAGACTTCCATGAATATATACATACTTTTGAATGAGAAACATTGTCGTCTGTTTATAAAACTCGTGGATCCGACTCGTGGAAGCTAGCTCTTGTCCCTTCCATGGGAATTTCGTTCCACGCTGTTGACTAGAAGTTTTGAAAATTTTCAACCTCGGCATAGAACTAGACCAGATTTGCTTTGACGGCCTTTCTTTCAAATCAGTCAAGGTATCAATAATCAAATACCGGGGCTTTACTTGAATAGTGGCCGTATTCAGTGATGGTTTCTCAGATAGTCAAGTTCACCTTTTTGACTACCTGCAAAGAAAATGCACTGTGTTTAACTCTCAACGACAAGATGTTTAAAACACTGGTTAAAAAGGTGGTCTTATGAGGCTGATTAAAGGTGGTCTTTTGTAACAAGTTACGTGTTGGACGTTCATGCATCCATAACATAAAAGCCCTAGAAATCTTGAAGGATTTTCATCAAGCTCCTCTCCCTTTGTTGGGTTAGTTACGCATAGACATCAACGATCGAAGGAGTATGAATAACGATAATTCTTCTCTACAAAATTGTGCTGGAAAGTTGAGGCTCTATCTCTCACTTGGCGCAACACAAGCTCTCTTTGCTGGATTCGAAGTTTTGAGCCGAGTAGCTCTTGACCAAGGCGTGGGAAAGACGGCGTTCACGTTTTACAGGAATTGTCTCGCCACCATCGTGTTGGGAATCTCTGGAATCATCTTCGAGCGCAACAACTAGGAGGTTTTCTACTTCTTTTTCCTAGGGTTCTTGGGGGTGACGATGAACCAGCTTTGCTACCTGGTCGGCCTGGGTTTGATGTCGGTCATGGTTACATCGGCCATCCGCAACTGCATCCCTATAATGACGTTTGTTCTTGCGACGAGCCTTGATCATCCTTGGTGCGGAAGACTGCGAATTTGCCCTCAAGAACCACGGGACCTTTGTAGATTGACAAGATGATTGAACCAACAAGACCGATCAGCGCTCCCGAGAGCTTGGCGATGCCATGCCTTTGTCTCAAGTTAAATCTTTTCCAGCTTGAAGAAACAAAAGAGTTGTTGATGACTCTTTAGTTTTGGCATATCCTAACTACACATGACCTTGCATTTTGTGCATAAATGATTATAATATTGTTTTGGAAATGTGTTGATGCCAAAGAGCTAAAATATGCCTAATCAACACCATTTCATTGTATATATAAGTTGTACTCGGCAATCGTCTCCAACATTATGGAGAGCCATATACTCCACTTCTTCACTCGCGAGCTCCACTATAAGATGGTTTCATGGCATCTGGGAGCAATCTTTCTCCTCCTATCGGGCCTCTCTTTTGCGCTCTTTCTCATCCTCCAGGCTCCAGTACTCAAATCTTTCCCAGCTCCAGTAACTTTCGCTTCCATGTCGTGCCTCTCGAGTGTGATCCAGCTCCCGATTGTTGGAGAGGCGTTTGAGCCACAGTGGAACTTGTGGACGAACATCAAACTCGGGGAAGCTCTGAGCATCGTCTACGCAGGAGTAATTGGATCGGGGATTGTATCAGGGATTCAATCGTGGGCAGTGAAAGAAGGAGGCCCGGTGGTAGTGGCAGCGTATCAACCACTGGAAACTATTATCACGGCGTGTCTAAGCTATTTCTTCTTGAAGGAAAGCTTGCGATTGGGAACTCTGGTGGGAGGGCTCACGATTATCTCCGGCTTATACTTGCTCATATGGGGGCAGAGAAAGGAACGCGAGGCAAATGAGGAGGTTACGAGGAAAGCCACAGAGATTACTCTAGTTCTACAGCCTAGTCGGCGAGCTAGCTTTATCAAACCAGTTCAGGTATTTAATGTTGAGCAACGAGGCATTTAAAGCTGAATGAAAGAGCTCTATTATGACTTGAATGAAATATCGGAGTTTTGTTTCTAACCTCTTGCCGGGCAGCCGGAATATCGCGTGGTCAGAGACTTAGATTGATATCACAGCTCTCTTTCACATTGTCCCTTTTAAATTATGCTTCAAAGAATGGTTATACTGTGTGGTTGACCCACTTAAGCTTGCCAAAGAAACTGGGCATGCGACTGGGTATTGGAAGAGATTATAAGCATCGCTTTGTCCCCACATAAAAGCAATGAGTCCTTCAAATAGAGTGTTAATTGGCCGGCCTCCATGATCACTCCAGCATGCTATTAAACTTCCATGTTCCCCACGGTAAAAAATTTATGGAAGTCTTGAAATCTGAAGCCTGGAGTGCAAGAGATGAACTAAAGCAACGAAGAAGAGGTTTCATGATGATCTTTAACAAACATTCTCGGGATGAATCCAGTAGCGATGATGATCTTTGGCTGCAATATATCTGGCACGCTTTTTGGGAAGAAAAGATCGGTCTTGATCAACACAAGTAGAAATTTGTTTGCGGTTTCACTCGATAAAAGCATTTGTTTGCGTCTCAAGAGAGCAGTAGCCTAAACGAACACATAGAAGCTCAGTTTCCCTGTTCTCCTTGTGCTTGCTGGTTGGATGGCAAACGAGAGCACTTTCTTTAGGAGAGGCCAGGAGAATCATTATTTCGAAAGCGAGAGTCGAAGTGGGGACTTGGTAGAGTGTATTAGGGTCAGGGTCAACCCTCACATTGGATCCCTATGTGCATGGTCCACCATATAGGAATGGGGGCAGTAGGCAGGAATGGTCACAGAGTTAAAAGTTCCTCAAGAGGATCTCCCACTATTGAAGGGTCTCCCATAATGTTTGGACTAAGTAAGTTGCTTCATCATTGCTTTCTTTTGCTTGTCACTTCATTGGAGGAGACCATCAGATCCCTTGGGAGTAAATTTGTGATTTTTTCCTGTAGTTATTGCAACTTTTTTCCTGCCAACTTGTACTTCCAGAATGTCTTCATTGGCATTAGATCGAGAAAGCGATCAGCTCACGACTCCATAGTCACGCGAGAAAAAAAAGAAATGGATCCTCCAATCGAGCATGATCTACATGCGGCAGCGATCCTCCTCTGTTTCAGAACTTTAAATTTTGATAGCTTTCTTTTAGACCAAGATGGCACCAGTGAAAGTGAGTTCCAAAGGGCCAGGGAAATGGCACTAGGGCGTGCTCATCCAAGCAGCATGGCGATTTGTTTCGCCGCGGATATACATCAGTTTTGCCGCTATAGTTTTTATGGAGATGCCTTGTGGAGAATTATGTGTTTGTTCTTAAAAAGGACTAGCAAGTCGTGGTAGACAATTGTGTTCCTAGTGAGTCTCTATAATCTGATTGTCGATATAAGCACATTCTTGTGAATTTAAACAAGACAGGCATCTTCAATATATAATCTTGTGGTCGTGGGTTCGAACCACGGCGCATGAGGTGATTTTAAAATTGGCGCGAATCTTGTGAACAACGGGCATTTGGAGGACGAAGTTGTGATGGCGGCCTAAGCAAGGTGGCGGAGGCGAGGGAGATCTTCAACTGGATGGCAGAGCTTGATGCTCATTACGAGGCCAAGGAGATGCTAGCCTCGGATGGAATGAGGCCACAAACGCAGTGTGATTCCCGCACTGGACGTTGTAATTTGTGGAAGTTGAGGGCTCGCGTACGCGCAACTAATTTTAAGATGGACTGGTCATGGGTATGGCAAAATATCATGTCGATCGGCGCTGGACTGAAAACAATCCCAAGAAATCAGACATGTCGATCGGTGCTCGACTGAAAACAATCCCAAGGAATCAGACGGAAGCTTTCTCATACTCCGGGGACTCGGCCCTCTCAATGTTAAGACGCCACCGCTCATGATCAATTCTCTATGAATGCTTTAGAAGGTTCCTGTTTTTCACTTGGATACCATGGTAAGAACCTCTGATCATGACAGTGAAATCACTGATGCAATGAGGAAACCAAAGCAGTTCAAGACAGTCTACTTCAATTGTTCTGATGATGATTTACCAGTG